GATTGATTTTACTCTTTCATCTCATTGTGCAAAATATTCCCTATTTTTTTTAAAGGATCTTGAGTTCAAATTAAACACGAGTACATAATTTTACAATGTCAATTGTAGAATAATGTCAAAATAAAATAAGCTAAAACTGATTGGCTTTTTAAGAGCTTTTATCTCCCTCTAGTGTTAAGACTTTGTTGAACAACACATATTATACCTTAGAGCAGGGGTCATCAAACTCGGTCCTGGAGGGCCGGTGTTCTGCAGAGTTTAGCTCCAACCCTAATCAAACACACCTGAACAAGCTAATCAAGATCTTACTAGGTATACAAGAAACTTCCAGGTAGGTGTGTTGAGGCAAGTTGGAGCTGAACTGTCTTAAAGGAATAGTCTCCCCCCCCCTCATAAAAATATAAAAATAAAATAAAATAAAAAAATAAAAACTGTACAAGTTTCTTTTTTTCTGTTAAATACAAAAGAATATATTAACCAAAGAGTTGACGGTAGCCATTGACTTCCACAGTATTTTTCCATATACTATGGAAGTCAATGGCTACCGCTGACTGTTTGGTTACCCACATTCTTCAAAATATCTTCTTTTGTACTCAACAGAAGAATGAAACTCATACTGGTTTGGAACGACATGAGGATATTATTTAATTATTATTGTCATAATTTAAATTTTTGGGTAAACTATCCTTTTGAGGACACACATGAACATATGAACACAGAGAATAATGGACATAAAATAATGTAAAAAAAAAAAGTATTAGAGACACAATTTAGGTACAAATAGATACAAACTGTCCAACAAAAATAAGGAAAATGTTATTTTATTTTGGCTTCTTCACAAAAAAACAACAAAAAAACAATGCCTTACAAGTACACACAATAAAGACAAAAAAAAAAAAACTCATCAAGACGGATGCAGGCTTCCATGTGGGCTGCACTGCAGAGTATGATAAGTGTAAAAAGGGAAGAGCTATTTCCAAAGTATGGTTATTAAAAGCAGAATGCGTCCATTTTAGCTAGACAGTCTTCAATACTTGTGAGAGGTAAGTAACATTGCTACTTCATTTATTTGTTTGGGTAACTTAAAGGAATAGTTCGCCCAGAAATGTTCTCATTCTTATGTCATTCCAAACCTGCATGACTTTCTCTCTTCTGTGGAACATAAAAGAATATATTTTGGAAACTGTGTTTTCTATCCATATAATTAAAGTCAATTGGGTCCAAAGATGTTTTAGAGCCAGTGGACAAAAATGGACATAATTTGGTCCACTGAGTCCAATGCTGTTTTGGACTCAATGGACAAAAAAAACTCTGTCACACAGCTTTGGAACAACATGAGAGGGAGTCATTGCTTTAAAGCATGATCAGGTTTTTTTTTCAATATCAGAGCTTTTTTATTGTACATGCTGCAATTTATAAAATGAAAACTGATCAATTATATAATGAAGAAGACTCTTATAATGACTTAAGCCTGTATTTGTTCCCCAGTTTGAGAGTATGTGGTTCACGTTTGTTCTACTCCAACTTCTGCCTCAGCTCACCCTCAGTGCTCATTGTCCCAACGGGTGCGTTTGTGACATTAGGGGTTCTGCAAAATGCATTGGGGACATCACTTACATACCCCCTCTCGACCCAACAACAACCTTCCTACTCCTGCTAAATAACACAAACATAAAGGTCCTCAAAGACAGAAGTTTCCAGCCGTTCTCTCTTCTGATACGACTGATGATCACGCAGAGCACTCTTGACAACATCCAACCAGAAGCCTTCCATGGTGCTCCACAGCTTCGGTCCATCAAACTGTCATCAAACGCACTCTCTGTCCTCCCACCCAAGGTGTTTAGTGAGCAGAGCAATTTGGAGCAGCTGCAGCTAGATGGTAACCAAATAGCTTCCATTAGTTCAGAACTCTTTGAGGCGATGGTCAACCTAACTGAACTAAATCTGAGCAAGAACCGCCTTTCCCAACTGGACGCTGACGTCTTCCAGAGTTTGACCAAGCTGAATTACCTAAACTTAGCTGATAACCAACTGAGGAACCTCCCGAAGACCCTTTTCCATAACCTCCGGCAGCTCAAATCTCTGGTGCTCTCGTCCAACCAATTGGAGACACTTGAAAGTGGTTCCTTTGACCATTTAAGCAACCTGTTGGTGCTAATGCTACAGAAGAACCAGATCCGAGAGATTCCTCCACGTCTTTTTTGGCACTTGCCATCCCTGCTCACCCTCTCGATGTCGGCCAACCAACTCCGGTTTATTCCATCCGAGAGCTTCTACTACTTGCCCAATCTGACCAAGCTCACCCTCTACAAGAACCCCTTGATATCCCTACCTTACCAGCTAATGGGACACATGCCAAGGCTCCAAGAACTGTACCTTTACGAAACCAATCTATCCACTCTCCCATGGAACCTTTTCGCTAACATGACCAACCTACGAGCTCTCAATTTATACTTCAACAACAAGTTGACCTCCCTGCCAAAGAGCCTCTTCTGTTGCCTGCCCAACCTGAAGAAACTGTCCCTGAAGAACAACAACCTTCGGGAACTGGACCCAGAGCTTTTCTCAAAATTGATTAGCCTTCAAATTCTGATGCTTAATGAGAACAAGCTTGAGTCTCTCCCATCGGCAATCTTTCGCAACACCTTAAGACTAGAAATACTAGCCCTGAACCACAACCATCTGATGTATCTCCCCGGAGATGTTTTTGTACACACAAGGGTGCTAAAGGACCTCTCTCTTAGTGGCAACAAATGGAATTGCGATTGTAGCATTATGGGTATTGCAGAATGGATTCGTGAAAACCCAAAACTAATCAGTGACTTGGACAAAGGAGTAACATGCTATGAACCGTACCGCTTAGAAAACCATCCTCTGCAAACGCTGACTTACGAAGAACTCCATTGTGGTGTTTTCCAGACAACGTTTATTGGTACAAATGCCATTACCACTCCAGTGACACCAAACCCACATTCGTCTACGGCTACAAGCACAACAGCAAGAAATACTGCGACTGCAACTACAAGTACTTTTATAACAGCCACCTCTCTACTTTCTCCTACACCTGATCATATTTACTTGAAACAAGGCAATGGTAACAACAATGATCTGGCGTTCTACGATACAATTGTGCTGGAAAACGAACCTGAAATTGTGCACAACAATCATTACAATGGCTGGGTGTACCTGTGGACTGTCCCGTCGACGGGTCCTTACAGTGGATTCATGATAGCTTTGTACATTGTTCTCTTGGTCACTGGTGTAGTCCTGATTGCGGCCAGCTTATATGCGTTGTTTCAGCTTCATAAGATGATGTGGGTGTTAGGAAAAGTCACTATGGGAGACAATCAGAGACTAATGGCTAGAAGAGTACGAAGCTTCAAAGTCAAACTCTAGAGAAAGCTTAAAAACCTCTTCAGTTATTCTACAGCAAACTGTTATGTATTTTCACCTTATAGTGCATATTGTAATTTGTCAAATTCCACTTCGTATTAATGAGGAATATAAAAGTCTGAGACCACTAATCAAAAGCTTCTATCTTGCATTTTTCAAATTTTATACAACAAATTTTAATACAAATTATGTTCAGCACAGCAACTTTTGTGACAAGTTTTAAAATGTATATAATCATTTTTGTAAGCATTCATTTATACAGCCATTAACAATGAATTTTTGTTTCTTTTCTAATACACGTTTTCATTTCTGCAATTTCCACATTCCAGTGCTTTACAATCACAAAACTGATATGAACACACACCCTTGGTGGTTGCTTGCAAAGTGTAAGACCAAATAAAATGTTTCTGTACCTTGAGAGTGGTTTCTTTGCCATGTATGCCACCTGGTGGTTAAACAATATAGAGCAGAAGCAAAATATGCATATGCGGACATATTTACAATATACCACCCTACTTATTTTCACAAATTATTTTGTTATTTTAGTTATAATTATTATATTCATTTTTTGTTTATTTAAATGATTTATTATTATATTATTTTTTATTTTATTTTTATATGATTCTATTTAAATTATTATATATTTAAATTATATTAAAACAATTGTTAGAGTATGATACTGAAACTGCAGATTATTTTTAAATATGCACAATGTCAACCATTGTTTTTATTTTACAATAAAATTATTGCTTTTATTTTAGATTAGTATAGTATAGTATAGTATTATTATTATTTAGGGGAAAGAGTGAAGTGTGTATTTTTGGATGTTAAAACTTCTTTTAGTGTCACTAGAGGCACAGAAATCTGATACTTCACCTTTAATTATGAGACCAAACCACCCCAATGAAAAGATGTGGCTAAACTCATGTTTGCACATTAGCCTACTATTGCAGCATAGTTAAGCTCACAGCAAACATGTAGCAAGCACTGTTATCAAATTCTTACCACTCCCACATGACTAGCAAAACGCCTCAATGAACGAGCCCAACGTTGATGTTTGGTGTGACTCTGACTCTGAAACTCAAAGAAAGTGGGTGTAGGCTATGCTTCTCTGTGGGCGCGGTCCATCCGCCAAGCGTGAAAACCTGAAGATCTCTGTTACAACATTAACAGGATGTTTCACATCTTTGAAAATGTTTCCAAAATGTTTCACTTGTTTGAAACATCTGAACGACGACTCTCGTACATTAACTACTGGAAAACTGAAATAGGCGTCAAAGTTATAGTCGTGTTCTATAGCTTTCCTTAAATTAAAAATACGGAAGTGAGTAGCCTTACTTTCATCTAAAAAAAAAAAAAAACCCTCAACCGTATAAAACTGAGAAACGTACTATGTCCGTCTCATACACCTCATTCACGGCCTGAATGTTATTCTCTTCAACTGTCGTGCTGTCATAGCAACAAGAGAACCATCGTAACATAATACGTCTCCAATTCAAGAGTAAACTTGTGTGTGAATATGTGTGTTTTATGAGTCAGGGAGATCAGATTAAAGACTTCGCAGTGTCAATGGCATCCAGAGATTTGTGTGAACATGTTCAGGTATGATTAACATCCATGCATCAACATCTGCCTGGCGACCGTATATACAGGCGCAAGATGGGAAAAGTCTGTCAAAAACATGAAACATAGAGGATCATTCTGAATAAATATTTCCCGCCAGCCCACGATGCCTAAAATGCGTTTCTCGAAGATTCGGATCTACGAGTTCAAGGACCTCATTCGGAACAAGAAACAACCAAAAACGTAAATGAATTTTACTCGTCTCTCTGCATTCAAACGTTCTGAATCGACTGAAAGACGGATATTTACTAAAGTGTTTATTTTAATTTAGACTGGATGTTCTGTTGAGCAGGAAAAAGCAGAAAAACAATATCAGATGTGTTTTGATTCAGAAAAATACTGAAGACTCTCATTATCAGTAAGTTTTTGAATTGTTATATACATGTGTATAGAACAATTTCAACACTGAAATCATAATTTCATGGGTACTTTATGCATAAGCAGTCATTTCTAGGCCAGACTGTTTTTGCCTTTACTAGTTCATTCCTTCAGTGTGAAAAAACCCTTACCAAAAAGTAGTATACTTCAAGTTTATTTTAGTAAGTACACTTAAGTAAAGTTCAAGTATATTTTTAAGTATACTTTATGTAGTAAGTATACAAATATCAGTGTACTAGTAGTATACTTGTAAGTGTACTTTCAATACTCCTTGGGACTAAATTGGCCCACTTTCTAGTATATAAAAGTATAATTTTAAGTATACTTTAAGTATAACAGTAGTAAACTTTGAGTACACAACTAGTTTACATCAAAATGTTTAGTTTGTACTGCAACTATACTAAAAGTGAACTTATAGGTATACTGATAGTTTACTAATTAAATACTTGTAGTAACATTTTTAGTACACTTTGAAGTATAGTCTCAGTAAACTACTAGTTTAGTAGTTTTATACTACAAGTATACTCGTAAGTTTTCTTTAAGTGAACTTTACACCATACTTTAAGTATACTACTATGTCCCTATTTAGGTATTAATTTGTATATATTTTGTTACATGAATACCTGAACATACAAAACATCAAAAGAAAGAACAGGGTATCTGCTTGTAAACAAAAACATTTTATTCTAGCTTCATGCATTCTTTTTTACAAACACTTGAATGTGGGTAAGTTTCATAAATAAAAAATAAAGAAATAAACAACATTTTGAACAAAAAGCTGAAAAAAAGACTATGAATTGGATTCAGAATGATAATCAAAACGTAGATAAAGTCGATCAACACCCCAAAGCTTGACAGTTATTATTACCTCTTCATTGGTCGACATTTTATTCCATAACATTACACAGTTTTGATGCTGTTTTATGTCTGATGATCGTGTTAGAATACACGTGGAAGCATCTGTTGTTTCGGTTTCTTCTTCACTTGTGTTTTTTGGAAATTCTGTACAGAAGATGTGTACTAGCGCCCCCTACAGTATAACAATGAAAACACGGATTCTAGGAGCACAATTATAGCTAAAATATATTTAGACTTTTTCTAAGTATAAGTCAAGTATACTTAAATGTCATTTTAAGTATATTTCTGAGAAGTACATAAAGCCCATTTCTGAGAAGTACATAAAAAGTAGACTAAAAGTATACTTTCCTATTTTTAGTTTAAAAGAAGTATACTAATAGCACACTTGACTAAACTTCTTTTTCGTAAGGGCTGCCAGCACACAGAGGAAGTTACGTCAGAATTCCCGTTTCTGTTGACTGAGTGGGCACGACTGTCTGCATACGGTGTATTAACTGCAGAAAACACACCTGGAGAGGCAGATTGTCCATCCACACCCTGGAACGGCCGGCCACCGAACACACAATGCTAATTGGCTATTAGTAGCTCGCAATAAAGCGGTTTTCTCATAAAAGCCTGAGGACCGGGAGCTGTGTGGATGTGTTTATGGGTTACGGGTGTGTATGAACTGAACTCTACCTCGTTGTAAATGGAAGTACAGCAGACGTTTGTTATACTGGCAGTCGTGGGTCGCTCCAGAAGGAGCTGTGGAGGTTGGAGGGGTGAATGAAAACAGCGAGTGTCAGTCAAGCGCTGTGTTGTGGGTCAGTGGCTCTTCAGCCGCTCATGTCTGTGTCAGTGAAGGAGTACGGCTCTACAGCGGCCTTCATGGCCTTTCTACAGCTTCTCTTCCTCTGTCTGTCTCATATACTTCTCTGAGGGTTTATTTTGAGGAGCGTGTGACGCATATAGAGGCTCGAAGTCATTTTTCTCTGTCAACATCACGGCCTCCGTCTCGTACTTGCTGACAAGCTAAAAAATCTGGAATTTTTAAAAAAAAATAATCTATAAGTTCACAAAGAGCTTAAAAGTTTTTTTATATGTAATTTATATTGTTTGTAAATTAAAAGTTGTATAGTAATTGTCAAAATATAATTGCTTGTGTAACGCATTAAGGATATATAAATATTCATGTTAATCTATATAATATATTTATATGAAATAAATATAAATATTAGCAAAAGCTCTGCATTTTGTCTTTAAAGTGCTTTCAAGGTGATGTGCTTTAATTTGGAGCAAGAGATACAGCAGTAGTAGCTTTTATTAATATCATATACAGTGGGTACGGAAAGTATTCAGACCCCCTTAAATTTTTCACTCTTTGTTATATTGCAGCCATTTGCTAAAATCATTTAAGTTAATTTTTTTTCCTCATTAATGTACACACAGCACCCCATATTGACAGAAAAACACAGAATTGTTGACATTTTTGCAGATTAATTAAAAAAGAAAAACTGAAATATCACACGGTCCTAAGTATTCAGACCCTTTGCAGTGACACTCATATATTTAACTCAGGTACTGTCCATTTCTTCTGATCATCCTTCAGATGGTTCTACACCTTCATTTGAGTCAAGCTGTGTTTGATTATACTGATTGGACCTGATTAGGAAAGCCACACACCTGTCTATATAAGACCATACAGCTCACAGTGCATGTCAGAGCAAATGAGAATCATGAGGTCAAAGGAACTGCCTGAAGAGCTCAGAGACAGAATTGTGGCAAGGCACAGATCTGGCCAAGGTTACAAAAAAATTTCTGCTGCACTTAAGGTTCCTAAGAGCACAGTGGCCTCCATAATACTTAAATGGAAGACGTTTGGGACGACCAGAACCCTTCCTAGAGCTGGCCATCCGGCCAAACTGAGCTATCGGGGGAGAAGAGCCTTGGTGAGAGAGGTAAAGAAGAACCCAAAGATCACTGTGGCTGAGCTCCAGAGATGCAGTCGGGAGATGGGAGAAAGTTGTAGAAAGTCAACCATCACTGCAGCCCTCCACCAGTCGGGGCTTTATGGCAGAGTGGCCCGACGGAAGCCTCTCCTCAGTGCAAGACACATGAAAACCCGCATGGAGTTTGCTAAAAAACACCCGAAGGACTCCAAGATGGTGAGAAATAAGATCCTCTGGTCTGATGAGACCAAGATAGAACTTTTTGGCCTTAATTCTAAGCGGTATGTGTGGAGAAAACCAGGCACTGCTCATCACCTGTCCAATACAGTCCCAACAGTGAAGCATGGTGGTGGCAGCATCATGCTGTGGGGGTGTTTTTCAGCTGCAGGGACAGGACGACTGGTTGCAATCGAGGGAAAGATGAATGCGGCCAAGTACAGGGATATCCTGGACGAAAACCTTCTCCAGAGTGCTCAGGACCTCAGACTGGGCCAAAGGTTTACCTTCCAACAAGACAATGACCCTAAGCACACAGCTAAAATAACGAAGGAATGGCTTCACAACAACTCTGTGACTGTTCTTGAATGGCCCAGCCAGAGCCCTGACTTAAACCCAATTGAGCATCTCTGGAGAGACCTAAAAATGGCTGTCCACCAACGTTTACCATCCAACCTGACAGAACTGGAGAGGATCTGCAAGGAGGAATGGCAGAGGATCCCCAAATCCAGGTGTGAAAAACTTGTTGCATCTTTCCCAAAAAGACTCATGGCTGTATTAGATCAAAAGGATGCTTCTACTAAATACTGAGCAAAGGGTCTGAATACTTAGGACCATATGATATTTCAGTTTTTCTTTTTTAATAAATCTGCAAAAATGTCAACAATTCTGTGTTTTTCTGTCAATATGGGATGCTGTGTGTACATTAATGAGGAAAAAAAATTAACTTAAATGATTTTAGCAAATGGCTGCAATATAACAAAGAGTGAAAAATGTAAGGGGGTCTGAATACTTTCCGTACCCACTGTATATATAATAAAA